TGGGGGAAGGAGGGGGCGGAGTCGGGGTTGGGGGGGCGTGAGCGCGGGAGCTGAGGGCAAATTTGCTTTTTTGTCCAGTGTCCCAACCGAACATCGGTCAGGACGCGGGACAAAGAAGGAAATATCAGGACTGTCCCGATAAAATCGGGACGTCTGGTCACCCTAAGATGAAGGAACTGTACATAGTATGAGACATTTTTCCTCTGATTATGTATCTTTCTCTGGTTTACAAAAATGCCAAATTGGTTGAGGAAGAAAAATCTGCTTTTCACTGACCTTTTGGTATGTAGGTCTTGACACTGCATGATGGATAGAATTTGCAGCCTGTGGATCCATGACTGACTCGATCTATGCAGTGTGCTAGCCATATTGGGTCAAATTCTAATCTCAGTTTTCTAGGTGTTAATCCCAGAACTCTTTCTGAAATTAGTGGGAGCTGAGACACTGAACAGCCTCTCCAGATCATATAATGTCATTGTTTCTGCAGAGACTGTGTTTATGGGGCTATAGTTTTGAGATATTGGGGGGGAGGGAGAGAAGTAGAGGAGAGGCTTGTCTGTGAAATGTAGAGAAGTGGCTGTATTCTAGTATGAAGTTAGACAATTTAAGATTGAGACTTGCTGTTACTCCAAAGTGAAAGGGATTTGTGCTATTATGTACCTGGGTTTAATGGCTTAATTTACAGTATTTGTTTTTATGGGTTAAAAAGGAGAATGATTGATTTATTTGTTTTGAAGACATTTTAGCTGGCTATTTATTACTGGATCTAGTAAAAAATGTTTTCAAACTTTCTCAACCTTGAAGCAATGCATATGATGCTTGTGATATTACACAATGTGGCTATTATTTATACATTTTTATCATAGAAATGATATTTTTCCCTTAAATATTACTGCAATAATTTTTATTCTAGTCTTACTGCTACCAAATTATTATTAATGGATTAAATGTGTGCTCATTTGTCTTAGAGAAATGACTAATATAGTAGAAAACAATTTAATTGCTTCATATTTCTTACAGTAAAAGCATATACATCTTCCAGTAAAAGGCCTGAAGACCACTCAAAACTGTTTTTATGTTGCCATTTTGAAAGTGGACTATCAGTTCCAACTCCTTAATTAATAAATAAATAAATTAAATAAATAAATGCAAAACCTTCTGATTGACTTCTAATTTTAAGCCCTGGACTCAGATAATATCTGCATTCCTTGTATACGTAATAGGACAACTTATTATGGGACCATAAAAGAGGCATAATCACAGTTTGGTGATTCATATCTGGTAACTGTTTTTCATCATTAGGACAAAAGATACCTAACCCAGATGGATGAGCAGAGCACCTTGCCCAAAACAAAACTGGTGTCTCGTCTCCAGTTGGGACCAGAGAATAGAGAAATACCACATATGGTTGAAGGAAGGTATATTATGCATGAACAAGCTGTCAACATTGAGGAAAACAGCAGTTCACTGGTGAGAGATCAGTGTTTTCCTTTTTAAAATGGGATAAATGCTTATGTTGTTAATATCTTATTAACTATAATCACATTACATTAAAGGACTGACTTAAGGATATTTACCCTTAATTTTAAGTAGAATTAGCTGTTAGCTAAAACAACATATAAGTGGTAGTTATACACCATCATACAGGGCCAATTTCAACCCTGGTATGTGTTTTTTGTTTTCTTGTGTTAGTGAAAGTGGGGGGGAAAAAGGCTTGGCTTTTCCCTTGCAAAGAGAGACATCATGTGTTCTGGGTTATGGTTAACAACAAAGTCTTTTTCCTTCCTGGAATGCTATATTTATTTGGCCTGTAAGAGAACAAGATCAAAGACAAAGATCTCTTACCTAGGCTCTGAAGCACAATTGTCACATTCTAGAAAGCAAAAGATTTTTTTTTTCTTAAAAATCCAGAACAGATGAATACTCATCTGAGCTATTTGGGCAAGGCATTTTCCTGTAGGCTCAGGTTTGTGTCTATAACTTTCTAGGTTCTGTTCTGTTGGGTTAATCGGCATGGTGAAAAAGGCACCTCTGCCAAGAAACCTGACTTCTTAACTGTTGCTAGGCCTGACCATAACACTGCAATAGATATGAGAACTAGCTGTTTGTGGCCTGGTTTGGCCTTGTTCTTCCCCTGAACCCCAAAGGCCTTGCAACAGATGTATAGGTTTTTACTAGCCCACTTCTGTCCCTGGAGCAGGACATACATTTATAGGTTCACATACCATAAATCGGTGGTTCTCAACCAGGGGTCCATGTACCTTTGGGGGTATTCAGAGGCCTTCCAGGGAGTACATCAACATAACTAGATATTTTTCTAGTTCTACCACAGGCTACATAAAAAGCACTAGCGAAGTCAGTACAAACTAAAATTACATATACAATGATTTGTTTATACTGCTCTATATACTAAACACTGAAATGTAAGTACAAACTTTATATTCCAATTGATTTATTTTATAATTATATGGTAAAAATTAGAAAGTAAGCAATTTTTCAGTAATAGTGTGCTGTGACACTTCTGTATTTTTATGTTTTTTATATTTTATAAGCAAGTAGTTTTTAAGTAAGATGAAACTTGGGGTATGCAAGACAAGTCAGACTCTTGAAAGGGGTACAGTAGTCTGAGAACCACTGCCATAAATGGTCCTTACCTTATTTAGGGTTACTATATGTCCGGATTATCCCGGACATGTCTGGATTTTTGGGTTTTAAATAGCAGTCCGGGAGGATTTTGTAAAAATCTAAAAAGGTCCGGGATTTCCCTCCCAATGCAGAGTGTGGCATGGCTGACAGAGCGGCTGGTCCGGATTGAGCTCCTCACATTGGGGCCTCCAGCAGCCAGAGTCCCTCCCCTGCTCCCCCTTCCCCCTCAGCATGCCATACCAGCAGCTCTCTAGGGGGCGGGGCTGTGTGCTCCACGGGGGAGCGCAGCAGCGTGTCTGGCTCCACGTGGAGTTGGATGGGTGGGGGTTCTGGGGGGGCCTGTCGGGGCGGGGGTGTGGATAAGAGTTGGGGCAGTCAGGGGACAGGTAGGGGGTGGGGTTCTAGGGGGTAGTTAGGGTGGGGGGTCTCAGGAGGGGGCAGTCAGGGACAAGGAGAAGGGAGGCTTAGATAGGAGGTGGAGTCCCAGGGGGTGGTTAGGGGCAGGGGTCCCGGAGGGGGTGATCAGGGGACAAGGAGCAAGGGGGGTTGGATGGGTTGGGGGTTCTGTGGGGGGCAGTCAGGGGGTGGGAAGTGGGAGGGAGTGGATACGGTGCGGGGCTACCCCCCCCATGGAGTGTCCTCTTTTTTTGAAAGTTCAAATATGGTAACCCTACCTTACTATATATTCAGGAATGTCATAAACCATAAGTGATTAAAACAAACTGGATGAGGGAAATTATATTAGCATTTTTGTGCAACTTGTTTGTATTTATTTGTATATGTAATTTATCCAAGTAGAACTACCTAGGGAGGTGGTAGAATCTCCATCCTTAGAGGTTTTTAAGGCCTGGTTTGGCAAAGCCCTGGCTCGGATGATATAGGTGGGGTTGGTCCTGTTTTGAGCAGGGGGTTGGACTAGATGACCTCCTGAGGTCTCTTCCAACCCCCATCTTCTATGATTCTATTAACTTACTTTTTTCTAATATCCAATCCCTTTTGGCTATGTGGTCTAGTGGCTAGGGCACTAGATTAGGACTCAGGAGAGCTGGTTTCTGTTCCTAGAACTGCCTGTTGGGTGATCGTAGGCAAGTCACTTCCCCCTCCTGTGCCTCAATTTCCCCATAAGTAAAATGGGGATAGTGATACATTGGTCCACTTCCGGCCCTAATGTTCCATGCTGATCTGCCCATGAGAAAGAGGAGGTTCAGCCACTTTCACCGCAGTTTGTCTTTATTTCTTAATCCCACAGAAATTAGTCAGGAGACTGTGATTCTGCCATTAGGGTGGGGACAGATGTGGGGAACGATATACAGCATCCCTCTATCAGCTAGGGATGTAAAAGTTTAACCAGTTAACTGGTAAGAAATTGACAGGTAAAAGGTTGCATCAAAGCTTCTACTGTAACAAAGTTGTTGACAAAAATCAGTCTCTCAAATTCCCACTATAAGTGTACTGTTTATTCAACCTCAATAAAACCCCCGGCAATGTTTCATTGAATCAAAAGATGTTTCAATGATGTTTTTGTAGAAAGACCCAGTTCCCCTCATGAAGTTTTCTTTGGGCTCTCGAGAGTATGTTCATGCGCATGTGTATGGTTTTCACACACACAATAGGCAGAAAGTTCAGCCAGCACAAACTGAAAATCTAGAGGGATCCACTGTAGACCAGGGCCATCCGTACAAAGGATCTGTATTTATGCACTGGCTTATAGGCCACTGTTTCCCCACTCCACAGAATTTCATGACATCCTAAAGGATGGGGCTTCCGCAAAGTGGAAAGTGCAAAATGGAATAGTTTTTGGCTGTGTTAACTTTGTTGCAAATTCCCAATAGGGCTGATAGGTTTTTTACATGCTATTTACATCCATACTAACTGTGTCACTGATTAAAATGTTATCGGTTAACCGGGGAACTGGGTGGGGATTCTGCAGCACCCTCACGTTTTATAGGGCTTTGCTGCTTACCCCCCGAAGGGATTCCCCGCTGCTGCCATGCTCATGGTTCTGCTGCTGCTGGGGTCCCACTGGCCGGCCCTGCACTTGGGGGTCCCGGCAGTTGGAGGTCCCGCTGCTGCCACACCCTGGACTCTGCTGCCACCGGTGCCCCAGTGGCCGGCCCCGTGCCTGGGGTCCCACCAGCGGAACTGAAACTGAACAGAATGCTTTGGAGAGATTTACATTTTGTTTAATAATTAGTTTTGCACAATATTCTACAATATGTTTTAATGCTGTGCTCCGAAAAATGATGAGAAATAATGAAAACAACTGCATTTGTCAAACAAATTACATTTTATTTTTGCATTATTCTGGCCCTTTTTGTCTTTGTTCACTTACATTCATAAATGCCACTCAATCACATTGGATCCCCCAGCCATTAGTGTGAGCCAGCGAGGTTCTACTGTATGATAATATTTGAATCATAGGGCCATATTTTGTCCTGACTTTACTCTCTGTGCAACTCTTTGATTTTAATGATTTCACTGGGTTGCCTATTAGCCAGATTTCTTTACAAAATATTTTGTTCTCAATTGTAAGTTCGAAGACCTTTATTCCTGTCTTTGGAGGATGGAAAAGAGGAGGGAGAGAAAACTTTGTTCTATATGAAAATAAGGGAACATAAGCGTTATTAATAAAAGTATTTGAATGTTTTATATAAATCTATTTATGATTTAATTCAAACATTCACTGGAATATTCTTTACAAAAGTTTTCATACACTTAAACACCTTTTAATCCTACCTCAGAAAAAGTTTTCAGTGGAAGCAGAGTTAGGCCATCAATTAGTACTTTTGAAAATCAGCTCTTCAGTCGTTTCCTCAGTTGACTTCAGAAATATTACTTGACCATCAATTCAATATGTATTAAAATTAATGTATTTCTACTTTCTTTTCTTCCTCGGTCCTCTTCGGTATCGAAGTATCCTACTGCACTCCGTACAGCAGTTTACAGAACCGGCACAGAAAGGAAACACAAAACAACAGTAAAGGAAGGAAAGATGGGCTTTGAATATGTGTATGTAAAATTTGTATTTTTTTCATTCTGTACTTCTTGTTTTTTAATTTAAAGCAGAGATGATCCCCAGTAGAACTCCAGAATCTGAGAGAGAGGCTTCAGATTTGGTAAGTGTGTACTTACATCCAGATATAAGCTTCAGAGCTCAGGCCCAACTTTACTATAAAGGGCCAATATATGTCATTTACAGGGATGTAAAACCAAAGAAACTCCATTGAAGTCAGCAAAGTTATTCTGGATATACACTAGTGTAAAAGATCGCAATCTGACCCAAAGAATATCTGGGGAGGCAGAGCAAGAAGAATACCTGTGGGCATGTCTACGCTGCAAAAAAACCTGTGCCAGAGTCTCAGAGCCTAGGTCAGATGGCTCGGGTTGTGGGGCTAAAATTAGTAGTATAGATGTTCAGGCTTGGGCTGGAGCCCAGGTTTCAAGTCTCACCCCTCGTCCAAAAGCTTGCACTACAATTTCTTAGCTCCACGAGCCCAAGTCAGCTGACCCAGGCCAGCCACACCCATGCCTCAGGTCTCTTATTGCAGGTCTCTTAGACATATCTTGTGAGAAGGCAGTCCTTCACACCCGATTCTGACGACTGTGTTTAAAGCCTGGACTGAGATTTATTTTTGTTATGTTTGTTTTTGCATATGATAACTTGCTTACATTTATGGTTAAAATAATTTGCTCCTGATACAAGGAGCTTGCTGTTTACTGCTGTGTCTTATTTACAATTTCACACACAAGGGTAGGAAAGCATTTTTCACACCGCTCTTAAAAACACCTTTACATTTATGCTGGTGTGCAGAAGAATATTTATATCAGTAATGACAATTATTTAGTACTAGTGTTTTGGGGGGGTTTGGGGATCCACATGTGGATATATTGAAATTTCCCAGATTCTGCACTTCATTAGGGCAGGGTTTTTGTTGTTGTTTGCTGTATTGCTGGTGCAAATTGACATAGCCAGGCTTTGTTGGATCATTTGAAGTATAGGTTGATCTGATAATGTAGAGCAGGTCCTATACATCCCTTTTTGTGGGCCAGTGCAGGGGCCATGGGTTGGGAAAAGGAGCTGTAGTCAGAGCTTTCATGAACCCTGGCAATCTTCAGCTGCTATAACAGGAACTTGAATTCATTGGCAGCTAGTAATTTTAGAGTAGCTGTCAGGATATTGTGATTTATGCTGAGACGTGTCTATTGTTAGCTTTTGACTGAAGTGGTTGGCCAGAGTGTGGGACTCTGCAGGTTGTTTCCACTAGGAGGAGAAACTGATGATCAGTTACATCTTTGATGTGACCCAGTTTGTTTATGAAGAATATACATATAAAGTCCTGTTTCCCAGAGGTATCAAACAGGAGACAGTTTTTTTGCTCACAGCTCAAAGCCCCTTTCAGTCAGACATAGAGTACACAGAAGCACACTCGGCTTTTTCTCAGGGTCATAATCACAGTGCTTGTTCACACTGCTTGCTCACACTGTGTCTGGAGCTTCCTTGTTGCCTTCTCTGTTTCTCTGGTGTTTCTTCCCCCTTCTACCTCCCCCCCCAACACATATCTCCACCAAACAATACTCAGCAAAAACCCTCTGACCACATAGTTCTAAATCTTGAGCCACTTCATGTGTACCTTTTTGTTTTGGGTGGTGAGGTCTGTTCTGTTAACTGAGATGCAATATATGGGATATGTTAGCACCTTCGGCCTAGTCACTCTCCAACATTAAACAATTTTAAACAAGGTTTGGGGTTTAGTATACAGAGACCTCAGCCTACTTAGCACCATGGCAAAAATGCTGTTAAAAACACTTTTAACCTTTTATTAAAGATACAGAAAAGAAGAAAAAACAGTCAAAGTATTTGAAATGTAAAGTATTAAATAAGTCTTTCATTTTAACAACATCCTTTCTTCTCATTCCTTTGAGCTGGAGCATCTTTAAAGGAAAAACCTCCTTGTTTGATAGTCTCTTAGATGGGATTAAAGGTGGCAATAACTGTACTTTTGTGGAAAAGCGAAGACATTAGTTGAGATGGGCTGAAGGAGCTGTTGCTAAATTCAGTCTTAGAAGGAAAAGCCCCCTTGTTTGACAATCTGTTAGATGGTATTAAACAGGTAGTAACTGTTTTCCCAAGTTGCTTGGGATTCAGCTGGAGCTGGTATGGGTGTCATTGTCATCTGGCTTCCTCTCTCTGGCCCTGTCTCGTCAGGCATCTCTCAGGATCAGGATGATGAAGGTGACCCAGGTGACGGTGATACTGAAGCTCACCATCTGTTGTTTGAAGTGCTCTTCCTTATTTGCTCCCCAAAGTCTTTTTTTAAGGACCCAAAAAGGGAGTGATGAGGGAAGTAGTCCATTCCCTCATTATTTTGTTTACCAGTTAGGCCTAACCTCTGACACACCAATTTTGGCTCATTGGCTCAACTTCCGGCTCCACATCATCTATTTTTAACAAGTGTGATTTTTAACATAGTCCTTGAATTATATCAGCGTGTCCTTTTTGTTTAGACTAATTCAATTTCGTACCTTTTCCCATCAGCATTTTGTTGTTAAAGGTTTTTGTGACATGTTACAAACTTTCACTCGTGTTTTACAATAAACTCATGATACTTACGTATTTATACTGTCTTTCTGTCAGGAAGTTTTCATATCACCAACCCAAAATGTTTTACTTCCACTGAAATCTTTTTTGCTGCCTTCAGGCAATTGGGAGAGGCCACATACAATGTGCTTTAAAGTGTCTGCTGTTTCTGTGGAATATGCTGGCTGAGACAGACTCTATCCATTTTGTTCTAATGGGAAATCATTACTGTCACAACTTTCCCAGTCTCAACATCCACAGCTAAATTCTCAGTTTTGTGGCCACCACACTGAAATATTGTCCTTCTGATACCCACAGGACCATTTAAGGAGGTAACTTTGGGTATAGTCCTGGGAGACAACTGTATCCTATGCATCACTTCATTTATTTAGATGAGTTCTGTAGTGGATTCCTCTTAAGGTTTATTCAGCTTAGGGCTCCTACCCTTCTTTTTCCTAGGATTGTAAAAACATACCAGATTCTTTTTAAAAATTCCTCATATAATCTTACATGTAGAACCTTTTCATCTCATTAGAGGCTGTCCTCAAATTTTCTCTAGCAAAGGTGTGTGGTTTTTTTCAGTTTTGCATTGTTGGGTTTCTGTTTAGTCCAAAAAATTCATATTTCTTTGTTCCTCTTCAGGAATGCCATACATGAGATTTGCTCTGGTCCCTAGCTCATGCCCAAATATGAGGAGTGCTGGGATAGATTTTGTACTCTCATTGACAGTTCTATAAGCCATCAAATGCAATGGGATATGCTGGTTTCAGTCCCTTGGATGCTATTCTACAAAGGTAGCCAGCTGAACCACAAGAGTCCTATTGAACCGTTCTGTCATCCCATCAGATTGTGGGTGTGCTGGGTGCGCCCCTCCTGGGGGAGACTAAGTTTTTTCAGTTAAAAAGAGGAAAAGAAGAGGAAAGACGACCTTTCTTCTGCATTCCTCACTGCTAGAGGATGATAGCCCCCCACCCAGGGGAATTCCCGGCTCCAAGATATGCCTCACCTGCATGGAGTTGATTCCTGTAACGGCGAGACACTCTCACTGTGTCTGGTGCCTGGGAGAGTCCCACAGAAGTGCTTCCCCAGCCACAACTAAAACTGCAGTCTCGCAGGAACTGGGAGTGAAGGCACTTCGGTCTCCAGGGGACTCCGATGCTGACCCTGGATCGTCCCCGGAGCCTTCAACTTCAAAGGGGGTAGAGTTGTGGAAAAAAAAACCCTGCAGGCTCCCCCTGTAAAGGCGTGTAAAAAGGGTTCCGAGTTGTTGGCCATCCAGAGGGGTTCCCCAGTGCTGTCACCTCAGTACTGACGGCACTGGAAGAACATGGGCTCTGAGTCATTGGCCAGCCAGAGGGGTTCCCCGGTGCAGCCACTTCTGTACCGACAACTTACCATAGATACTCCTCTGCAGTACCAAGTGAGCCCACAGTATCACATGAGCTCTGGTATCCTGGAGACCTGTGGCCCTGGTACCCCAGGGAAAGACAATTACCGTATCATCTCTAAAAGAGCAGCACAGACAAAACTGTTGGTACCTGGCACAACAAAATTCCCATCTAGGGAGTGCTCTGCACCTTCTCAACCATCAGTACTGACCAAGTACCATGCACACTCCTCCACAGTACTGAGTAAGTGCAGGGTACCGCATGAGCTCTGGTATCCTGGAGACTAGATGGGGAAGAACTGCAATTCCCATTACTCAGTATCGGGGCCCTGGTACCGAGCACATCCCGGCACCCAGAATTGTTCTTGGCACCAGGCCGTATACTACCAATACCCCAGTCAGAGCCACCCTTACCTGGTGACAAGTTTGACAGTGGCCAGCAGGAGGGCATTGTGGCCCACCGTCACAATACAAGGGTCCTCCTCAATTCCAGAGAGCCAACCCACGATTGTGATACGGGCCCCTTGGTGTAACCCCATCGCCCATGCCCACCCCATGGCCGTATTGTGATCCTTGGGCAACATACACATCCTGCATGTCACAGCCATCCAGTGTCTCTCCGAGAGATTCCACCAGATGGTCTCCTACAGCCTGGCTGTCCAGAGCCCATTAGCTAGGGGAGGAGGAAGCTTTTTCAGAACAGGAAGGGCTGAAAGGGAAACCTACCCCTCCAGCAAACTGCAGTCTCATCTGGTGTAGATGAGAAATGTTCCTCCCCCTCCTCACCCAATCACTAGGTGATGATTTTAAAAACTTTTTGGATCTTACTAAGAGGGTGGCAGATGAGCTGCAGATTCCCCTACAGGAAGTGGCAGATACACATCACAAGTTGGTGGCCATTCTGCACACCTCCTCGTCATCAAGAATTGCCCTCCCAATTAATGAGCGATTCTAGATCTGACCAAAGTCATCCGGCAGACACCAGCCTCCATCGCGTCAACCAGCAAGAGAGCAAATAAACAAAAAACTTCATCCCTCCCAAAGAGGCAGTTTTCCTGTTCAACATCTGCAACTCAACTTCATCATAGTGGATGTGGTTAATGCACAAAGCAAGCAACATCATGCAAAGTTGACCCCATATGATTGGGCTTGGCAGGACTGTATATTTGTTGGTGACATTACAGTTTAGAATCGCAAATTACCAAACACTTATGGCCAAATATGATTTCATTAATTATGGGAAACTCAATGTGTTTCTGGAACATTTACTGGAGACACACAAGGAGCAGTTTCAGGCCATTCTTAGAGAGGGTCAGTTAATTGCCAGACTGGTGCTAGAGACAGCACTGGATGTAGCCGATACAGTGGCCCGCCTGCTCTCCATAATAGTGGTACTGAGGCGGGCTTCTTGGCTACCCCTTTCTGGGTTGCCTAAAGAGATGCAGAAGACTTCCAGTTTGAAGGGCCCAAACTCTTCGTGCAGAAGACACATTCTTCTCTCCACATCCTGAAGGATTCCTGGGCCACATTACACTCCCTAGGAATCTGCACTGCAAGACAGAAGAGAAGATATACCTCTCAGCCACAGCCCAGGTCACAACCTCCTCAATATTCACCATCTCAGCGTTGTTAGGCGCTGCAGCTTAAGAGGACTAGGGCTTAAAAACAGAATCAGTTCGCACCCCAATCCATGACCTCTCAAACTGGCTCCTTAAGCACTTTTGATGGGCTGGTCGAGGGCCCGAACAATTATACCTTGCAACACCTGTCACGCCCCTTCAGAAATTGCTTGGCTCTTTTTCACAGCAGTTGGGAGAATATCACCTCTGACAGATGGGTCCTGGAGATTATTTGGAAGAGTTATGCCATTCAATTCATGTCTTTCTGCCCCCCCCCTTTCAACCCTTCCTTCCCGTCTCACAAGAACCTACTTCATCAGGAAATATATAATTTGTTATGCATAGGGGCCACAGAACCAGTCTCGGTGCAACTCAGGAGCAAGGGGTTTTACTCCCGTTATTTCCTGATTTTTTTTCCCAAGGCGAAGGGAGGTTGGAGGCCCATTTTAGTTCTAAGGGCATTAAACAAATAGGGGAAGGAACTGATGTTCAAGATGGTCACGCTAGCAGCTATTATTTCAGCTCTAGAGCAAGGAGATTGATTTCCGGCCCTTAACCTACAAGATGTCTACTGCCATATCTCAATATAGCCATCGTATAGGAGATTCCTGTGGTACAGGTACTGCTCCACCCGGGGTATTCTCCAAGGTTCTCTCCATTGTAGCAGTGCACTAACCTCGGTACAGCGAATAGAATTTATCAGCACCAACCTCAATGCAGTACAAGCGAGAGCATTCTTCCCGCTACACAGACTCACCATCCTGGAATGGATGCCTCCCTAATAGGCTGGGGAGTTCACCTACACAATCACAAGGTTCAGGGCAAATAGCTGCCTACAGAAGTGACCCTCCATATCTCTCTTTGGGAGCTAAGGGCTGTCAGGAATGCCTGTGCACACTTTCTGCCTTTTGTCAAAACACCCACACGAAGGTCATGATGGACTTAATATGACCTGTATGTTTTACATAAATTGCCAAGGGGGGTGCCAGATCTCCCTCCCTCTGCACAGAACTTTGGAATTGGTGCATCCATCACAATGTGCTCATTTCAGCTGTCTATTTACAAGGGATACAGAATGTGACAGCCGACAGTCTCAGTCGGAATTTTTCTCACGACCACGAGTGGGAACTGAACTCCGAGATGCTTCGAGATATATTTGCCCTTTGGGGAACCCTTTGGGGAGAGGGGAGCTCTTTGCTACTTACCAGAACAAGAAATGTCCTCGTTACTGCCCCAGGGCTGGCCTGGGGAAACATTCACTAGGAGACGCCCTCCTCCTCCCATGGGACGGGGAACCTCGTGTCTGCCTTTTCTCAGTTTCCTCTTCTATCCAAGGTCCTGTTGAAAATCCAGCGAGACAAAGTGAGAGTAATTCTGATTGCCCCTCCTGGCCAAGACAAGTCGGCATTTTACTTGGACAGGAGTAAGAACTTCAGGAAATCGCTACGCTCTTTCTTTCGTTCACAGAAAGAGCCAAAGGATCTGTGATAACGGCTCAAAGACTACCCAAATGGGTTTCTGGTTGCATTAATCACTGTTAGCAAGGGCGCAAACTACGGCCTCTGTCCAGAGTCCATGTGCACACCATGAGGTCAATTTCTACCTTGTTCACATTCCTTAAAGATATCCCTATCTCAGTAATCTGTAGAGCAACGACTTGGGCCTCTGCCCACGCTTTCGCAGAACATTACGCAATCACTGGAAATTCGGCCTCTGACGCCACCTTCGACTCCACAGTACTCTATAGTAACAGACTCCACTCCAAAGTCCCAGCCTCCGGTGGTGGGTACTTCTTGGGAGTCACTTACAGTGGAGCACCCATAAGGACTCAACTCAAAGAAGAGGATGTTACTCACTTTGTGCAGTAACAATGGTTCTTTGAGATGTGTGTCCCTGTGGGTGCTCCACAACCCGTCCTCCTCCCCTCTACTTCAGAGTTCTCCATAGGGCTCTGGGGTAGAGAAGGAGCTTGGGAAGGAGGGGGTTCGCCCACGCAGTGCTAGATAGCCTCAAGGCAGACCACGAGGGAGGGAGAGTACATATGCGGGCTCAACAGACGCTGCTACCAAAAAATCTCTGATTAGAGGCGCAGGGGCGTACATACACCTACAGTGGCACACCTGTAGGAGGACACATCTCAAAGAACCGTTGTTACTGTTCAAGGTGAGTAATTTCCTCTTTCTTGCTCTTGTCAGTATTTTATCCAATAAAAATTCTGTCTTAGATTGGCCAAGGTTTTTATACTCCTCACTGCTGATTTTCCCCATCTCTGATACAATATTTATCCTTAAACTCCAAGCTTTCTCACTGCTACCAGAGTGCTTTTGTTGTTGTATTGTGAGGGGATATTCTGTTCTGGGGTGGCTGTGTTTGTCACACATTAGTCTGATATCTGGGTCCCCTCTTTGGGAAGCTTTTTGTTGCTGTAGAATCCACTCTTGCAACCCCACATTGACTGTCTCAGTGCATGAATCAGGAACATTTTCACTTTTGCAAATTATGGAAGGAGAGATGACTGCCGTCTTCTCTTGAATGTACTCATTCCCTTGAGTAACTAATTCCTTGCTCTCCTGCTTAGGGCAGCATTTACAATAAGTCCTTCCAACAAGGTGATTTGTACAAGGCATTGGCATTATTATTCTTATTCCCAGGCCTCTATGTAACTGTGAAATCACAGCATTGCAGTTTTTCCAGCTATGTGGCAAGTTACCCCTCAAGATTGCTGAATCTAAAGAACCATTGCAGGGAAGTATGGTCTGTCCGAATCATAAACTTCCTCCCATACAAATGTTCTGTAGATTTAACCACTGCTAGAAGTTCCTTTCAGGAGGGGCAGTAATTTCTTACAGGAGATCTAAGGGTATGTCTGTACTACAAGTGCTACATTGGAACAGATGTAGTGATGCTGTTGTAGTGTAGACACTACAGCAATGGAAGGGGTTTTTCCATTGCTATAGTAAATCCACCTCCTCGAGAGGCAGTAGTTAGGTCGACAAAAGAATGTGTCTACATTGGGGCTTAGGTTGTCTTAAATGTATGTCTTGGCAGTGAATTTTTCACACTCCTGAGTGATGCAGCTATATCGATCTAAGTTATAGGTGTAGACCAGGCCAGATGTTTTTTTTTTTTCCAAATTGCATATTCCCTTCGTAGAAAATTACTTTTTCACTTCATGCTAGGAGGAGTTGTCTTAACTATAAATGTGAACCATTGCATAAATGTTTTCTCCTAGTCAATTATTCTTTTCTCTTATTTAATTGAATATTCAAATTATTCATACAGAATAATTTTCTTGTTCAATTCTAGACTCTCAAGAAAACTGAGAGAGTGTCCTGAAATGGCTCAGTGCGAGACGATGATATCCTTAGAGCTGAAGAATGACACTGGAAAGATTCCTGTTCATGAAAAAGTTCAGCATGTTATTGGCACATCAGTGTCTTATACCATAGATAGTGAAGGAAAGTATAATAAGCATAAGCTTAAAATGGCAGAAAAAGAAGGTGAGAGAAAATCAGATTTGTGTTTTGTATTGGTATAGGTGTACTTACGATAATAAGAAAAAGTTACCTTCTGTGCATTCGTGACAAGAAGGCCACAAATAATGAATACTTCTATTTCAATTACCATCACATTCTATCTCGTTGTGCTCTTAAATTTAAACTTTATTTCTGACTGTGCTGTTAGTGTTTGGCATAATACATTGATTATAAATTACTTGTCCACTGTAAAAATAGTGTAGTATTAAAGTTTGTCTGCCTCTGCACAAGATTTTATAATGGAATTGGATTAAGTTTTGCTTGCTTACTAGAAGTTGACACATCTTGGAATCAACAACAAATGGTGCTATTTCTTTGAGTGCTTGTGTTTGTGCATGTGTATTCCACTTTAGGGGTGTGTGCACCCAGTGTACTCAAGCCGGAGAATTCTGTGGATCACGTGTCCTGTACCTTCTGGCAAGTGTTTAAAGGGTGGAGCAGCCCCAACCCCTCTTTGGTTCCTTCTGACTGTCTGTGACTATAAGCTAGAGCTCCCCGAGTTCTGTCATGGTCTCTTTCATTCATCTCGAGAGGTTTTTTTCCTTTGTAAATAGGTAGTAGTATCATTTTTAGCACTTCATTGTGTGTTTCTTTTTATTTTTTTTCCACCCTGCCAAAATAGCTCTTTTAGTCTGAGATGTGAAACACTGGCTTTATGCTGTCTCTGGTATTTAAGCACTGCCCCTCTTGCAGGGTGTCTATCCCTAACAATGACAGCTGCACCTCTTGTTTATTGTGGTTGGGGGAAGTTCACTTTGTGAGAAAGATGCGGCATCTGTTGTGTCTTTAAAAAGAGGACTCAGAAGTCAAGAGAGCTTCATCTGAGGAAGTACGTAATAGAGCAGGCAATGAGACCATCCTCTGATTCAGTACTGCCTGGTATAGTGAGATCTCAAACTACTACTAAAAGTGCCTTCTTCATTCAAGCTCTCAAAAACATGAGAAAGTGGGATCTGTCTGTCATGAGAAAATGGAAGCTCTCCCCGTCTCTGTGCTCTTCTCATAAAGAACCAACACGTGAAACTCACCCTAAACCAATAAAGAGCTCTTTGGGTCTTTAAAAGGGATCCTGAACACAGAGATTCTTCTAAAAACCTTCCCCGGGCTCTAATCCATACCAAGGTTAGAGTGTCATCTTTGGCCGGACACTCTCCAGTACCATCTCAGCTCTGGCACTGGCCACCAGGCCTCAGTTGAGTTTGGCACTGTCTGGCCTCTTACAGACTTATGATCCAGCAACTCTGTGGCTCCTGGATTATTGGCACTGATTACACCTGAGGCTTATGCTGCAGCTGGAGATGTATGCCTATCAGTACCACAGTTTGCTGTGATTCATCCACATTGAATATGATAGTGGCATTATCTGTACTGAGGTCAGCACTAGAATTGGTACTGGTTTCACTCTCTGTATTGGCATTGACTCTAGTCTCAGCACTAACGTTGACTCACTTTGTGACTAGCACCACTGCAGCTTTTGGTCTTGGTACCAACTGTTTCAAACACCTGATTGGTGCACCTCTGGTGGTTGATACTAAAGCAAATACAACCATTGGTACCAAAGTCACACCATGCACAGTTCTCTGTATGTGTCGCCATAGAATTGACGTTTGGTTCTTTGCCAACTTTGAGGCAGCCCCCTATGCTGTTGTCAGCTAAGCCTCATTTGTTTAAGCTGCAAGCAGAGCAGCATGGTGCATTATCTACCCATCATGCCATGACTCCTCCGGTGACATAGGACTATTGTATGTCCTTCTCTGAATCAGATTACAGTAGCAGTGGTTTCCAAACTTCTTCATGCTGTGACCCCCTTTGGTGTCACCTCTGTTATGGTGACCTCCAAAGGTCTGAGAGGTGAGGGGTGTGATGCTGGAAAACCAGGTGCTAGCTCTTGCCAAGGTTTTAGGCTTCAGATAGGCACTGACAAATTCATTGCTGGCAGCCAGTCTGTTTTACCTGTGTGTTAATGTGGTTAAGATGGGTATTGAACTTAAAACATGCGTTTAGTATTTAGACTTTATGAAATGCATGTAAGTTGCTGCATGCATTAATCTCACTTGTAATATCTTTATCACATGCTGTAAAGCAAAAACTTATAAGGTAATATTTAAGTGTAAAAATGTTTGCCTTGAAACTGTCAACCTATCAGAAGGGATCATCTCTTGCCCATCAGGCAGGACTACCAAAACTGAATGGGCCATTGTGGGACATCATAATACAAAGACTTTGCTAATTGCCCCTGCACAGGCTAGGAGCAAAAGGGCTTGTCCCATTAGCTTGTATTCTGGAAGAAGGACATAAAGATAGTGAACAGAACATTTTTCATCTCTTTTGGTGTTTGAACTCTGATGGCTGGAGCTATGAAACAGAAGCAGAGATTCCCCAGGGTCAAGCTGGGATAGCCCTAAAAGACATTCAGTGCTGACAGATTACTACAACCCTCATCTTTTTGGAACCATAGATGGTAACTCATTTGTGTATATATGTTTGCCTGCTTTAACCTGTAAATAACTTTCTCATTTCTTTTTCCTAGTTAATAAATCCTTAGCTTGGTATAGGGTTGGCAAAAAGCATTGTCTTTGGTGTGAGATCAAAGGTATCAATTGACCTGGGGTAAGTGACTGGTCTCTTGGGCCTGGAAGCAACCTGAATCTTTTATGATCTCTGGTATATAGCAACCAACTATTGCTAAGACCAGCTTGCCTGGGTGGCAAAACAGACTGGAATGCCCAAGAGAACTGTCTGTGATTTCATGGTAAAACTGTTAAGAGTGCTTCAGGAGTTCACATCTGTTACTGTGTTGGTGAAATGCTTATTGACATTGGTCTTGTGGGAGATCTCCTTTGAGTTTCTTACTGGCCACCCATGCTATGCCCACACTGGCCTTGTAGGGCTCCCTGGGGAAACCCTTGGTCCTCGAGTACGGTTTTGCTTATCTAGACATAGATTTCCTTCACTTTGGCTGACTTCGCAGGCTCCTCAGCCATCTCGTATACTATTCTTTTGCACCTTGCCAGGACCTATTGAGGGGAAAAAAGAGTAGGAGTTATAAGCACAGATGGACTCCCCCTGATCCATCTAGGGGCCCTGTGGGTACTAAGCAGGTATTTTGATGGTTTGATTGAGGATGCCAGACCAGTTTTCATGTTTCCAGTCTCTCCTCCTTCTTTGTTCACAAACAGTCTATCCTATTTCTTTGGTGCTTGGTCCAGAGTAATTTGGACCAATGGGTCTTATGCACAGTGGAAGTTGGATGCATCCTTCAGTTTGTTTCTTCCCTCTCCTTCCCCATCACTTTCAGGGACCATTCTCACAAGGAGCTCCTCCTACAGGAGGTTCAATTTCTCATCCTGGTGAGCGTCATAGATGAGATTCCTCAATATCAAAGAGGAACGGGATTCTTTTTTTAATCCCAAAAGCACAGGGAAGTTTCAGGCCAATTTTAGACCTACATCAACTCAGCTGATATCTAAAAAAGATAAAGTATTGCAGGGACATGTTGGCTTTCATTATTCCCTCCCTGGAGACTGATATGCCACCCGCAACTTAAAGGATACCCATTTCCATGTTGTGATTTATCAAGGCCACAGAAAATATTTCAGATTCCTGTCCTCTCATTACCTGTTCGCGGTGCTGCCCTTCGGCCTGTCAACAGTGCCTCGGATTTTTATAGATGTATGATGGTAGTAGCTGCCTTCCTGAGAAGGTTAGGAATTCAAGTCCATCTCTGCCTGGATGACTGACTTGTGTGAAGCCATTCCAGGATTCAATTATTGTCCAGTGTAACTCTCATCCAATCAACTTTCAAGGCACTGGGTCTGTTGATCAATACAGAAAACATCTATCCTCTCACCAAATAAGAGGATAGAATTTATAGGGGCGGTGTTGGACTCTACCCCAGCCAGAGCTTTCCTTCCAGAGTCAAGGTTTCAGACAATTCAATCCATTGTTTTAGATCTCAATATTTACCCAATCACAGCTGCATGGAATTTAGAGGTTTCTGGGACACATGGCCTCTTGAACATATGCAGTCCAGTATGTCACATTGCATCTCAGGATTCTACAAGATTGGCTGGCTTCAATATTTTTGCTGAGCCATTCCCATTGGAAAACATGTATCTCTCACATTTTAGACTCTTTAGACTGGTAGATAAATCTTGCCAATACTTGTGTACGAGTTCATTTAGGCCCTCCTCAATCATTGGAAATAACACTGGTCTACAATTTTTGAGAAGTCGTCTGCTTCAGAGATAAAATGTGCTATTTATTATGTATTTTGATGTGCTGAATTCAAATATGACAATTAAAATAACTGGCTACTGTTTCTAAGATATTTAAGTTCTTCTTCGAGTGCTTGCTCATATCCATTCCATTAGGTGTGC